CTAATCTATGTGGGTAGATTGTTCTTGCTCTGATGTCAATGTCTAGGGATATCTCAGCTTATTCTTATTTAATACTGCTCAGTTATTGCTTGACTTGATTCTACGGAGACTGTGCTACCTGGCACAGGGATTGAACTTGCAATTACTGTGTCACCAAATTCATGAACCAAAACTTTAATCCTTTAAATTATTGTCTCATTGTAATAGCAATGAAGATGAGGATATTAGCCTAACCCCTCGTCCTTGAAATTCAGAAAGAAGATATATACACTATAGAAGTTATAATTTGAAATATATTTAAACACAAGTTAATTTTTATTCTTTTCACCTATAAAATGTAACCTAGAACAACTTCTGCTATGAAATTTGTATTTAAATGTCTTTATATTCTAACAAAATTTGTCATGAAAATCAACAATTTTACGTTACATATAGTGACTGCAATTGCATTATCATATTGATAGGAAGATTGATCTGGTAAATAATATTCTATACAGAAGTATTTTTTAAATGCTGTTCGTGTGTTCTCATATTCCCTCACACTCAGTAACCCCTCCTTGTGTCCTAGTGGCTTTATTGATTTACTTAGGGTGAAATGATATATATATATATATATAAGCAAATGATTTGTAATGGCATATTTGTTAGTTTTAATTTAATGCTAACATTTCTTTCCCAGACCCGCCATGCTGTTATGAAGGCGGGGGGGGGTATCAAAAGATCTTGGGGCTGGCCCAATTTCCAAAATCTAGCCAAATATTAGATTTATATCAAGGGCTCCTTGATCAGGTCAAGCTAAGCACTTTTTCAGCCCCCCCAACCTCGTAACATTGTTTGCTAATTTTAAAGGGAATCTTTATATTTATTTGTACAGGGTGTGGCAGAAATAGCTTCCACATAATGTTAAGAAATTACTGGCAAGTGTGTCTTCATCCCTAGCTCAGTGGTTCTCAACTGGCGTCCATTTTAAAATGGTTTATTATGAGTTATTTTATTAATGCACATAAATGTTCCAGAGAATTCAGTTGTTAAATACAAGTTTATTTTCATGAAATTAGTTTTACTTCTAAATAAAGCATATACATTTACTATTACTATAATACAATTCCTAAACTTATCTATTAGTAAAAATTAGTAATAAAATAAAATAAGCTATTTTTTTTTCATTGAATGGTTATAGGGGTCCATGAAAAAGAAATTAAGAGTAAAAGTGGTCGATGGGTAAAAATAGTTTGAGAACATTTAGAATGTAGCTAATGTCTTACCATTATGTGTGAGGTATTTTTGAGAGATATAACTGCCACACCCTGTAAGAAACAAAGCCTATGCAAGTATTTTAAGATTTTTATCTTAAAATACATCCCTATTCTTAAAAATAACACCCACTCCCATGAGGATGAATCTACAAAGTGCAAGTCTTTTGGCCTGCTTATAGATGACACTGAAACAAACAGAACACAATGAAGTAGGATAGTATGAATATAATGAAAAACAAACACAGGTTAGCATGCCTTCCATATTGAGGTGGTAGTGGAGGGAAAGAGAAAATGGTCAAAGGCTCTTTCCCTTACAGTACAAACATTTAAAGCAGGTGTGTGTGTGTGTATGTATATATATATATATATATATATATATATATATATATATATATAAGCTGAAGCAATCCAAGACATTTGAGACAATTTGAAAAGTCAACCCCTTTTAGCATTCAATGTGCCCAAACCCACCCCATAAATATTGGCTTTCAAAGACTAACTGTTTGTGTGACATCAGTTGTTATTTACAATGATGACATATATTACAGCAGAATATACATACAGGTTACGGTGGGTTAAATACTGAGAGCCAATATTTACAGGGTGGGTTGAATGCTAAAGGGTTAATCAGGAAAGAGTAAATATGTTATTCCTTGAAAATGGTTTACTTGTTTACTTATAGCCAGAAAAGCCAATAATATTTTATTTATACCGACCAAAGAACCATAAAAGGATTGCAGTAATAATTATATCCTTGTGGAAAATGTTTTAAAAATTTAGTTTTAATTTATAACACAGAATATTTACAGAAACATACATTAGTATCCATTTATAATTAGGCTTGAGCCTTTTGGTTTGCCTAACATCCTGCCAATACCTCATAAATAATGGACTATTCCATTTTGATTGCATGGAAAAAAAACAAAAGAAATATCAGAGACACTACTTGGTTTCAGTGAGAAAATGAATGAAAGAAAGAAGGGAAGATAGACTTGTTTAACAGTTGTTTCAGAATTCTCTATAGGTTACCCAGATTGATATACTCCTGATGAAGGCTGGAGGGCATAATGGAAAAATGTTGTGAAACAATAAAAATGAGAATAATAATCTGAATGTAAATAAGAATTTCTAGGTAGGGGGGGGAAAGACTCATTAAACAAGAGTGCTAATATTCACTGCATCAGATAAAAGTGAAGCTGTTGAAGAAAAAACATTCATAAAACAAACATACATTTATTCACAAAGTAAAACATTTCAACATAAATTCTGAATAATTTTAAGCAACTTTTGATTTCATCTTTAACTTGAAAATTCACAGCTTTTTGTAGTTTAAAAGGAGGTTCATTACTTATCTAAAACCTAGAATGGATGTGGGGGGGGGGTGAAAATGTAACTCTAGAGAGTTACATTTTGCCCCCTCCCCACACACATTTTGACACACACAGATGGATTCTTGGTATTTTATGTGAGGTCCATAGAAATTGCAAGAATATCCGAGTCTGAGTTTGATCAATCAAAGTCTACAATTAAGTTAAGAAAAAGTTGCCAAAATCCTGAACTGATGAAAAATAATATGCAACTCTAATGAATCATCAGACAAGATTTTGATCTCATTTGTGTGTAATATTTTGGTGACGCAAACTAATAATTAACATTTTAAAAAAAAAAAAAAGAAGCTCTACAGAGGAACATTATTATGAGCATGTATTTGTTAATATTTATATTACATTTTTGTAAGAAAATTGTGTAACCACTTAAAATGGGGAAATTTAGTGTGTATGTGTGTGTGTATATATATATATATATATATATATATATATATATATATATACATCATCAAGTCTAGAAGAATCCGCAGCAGAATGCAGAAAGCACTGGGTGGCTGTTTCGTCCTATTTTTGGGACTCATCAGCAGTGTGCATCCACTACCGAGAATCAAACTCAGACCATTACGATTCCCACTGGACCAACATGTCTTGGTGATGGAGAGGTAACAAACCAGACTCAATATAGCACCAGTTCTTCACAAATTCCATTGTGTGACTAATCCAAGTCTACATATACCAATGGACTGTGCTCCCATGAGTCATGTCTTCTATCCCCAAGCCGCTACATCCAGATTCTTCTAGACGCGATGAATTAATTATGCTTATTATTTTTTTATATAAATATATATTTATATATATATATATATATATATATATATAAAAAATCAGATCTCAAAGTTAAAGTTTATTGTAAATGGCTTTTATATGAATCCAGTTTGGCCATTTTTGGCCTAGGTTATGAGAGCTTTATCCTGAACGATTTAAGTGGGGGAGGGAAAGAAAGGAGGGAGGAAGGGGAAAAGAAAGGAGGGAGGAAGGGGAAAAGAAAGGAGGGAGGAAGGGGAAAAGAAAGGAGAAAAAAGAAAGAAAAAGATAAAAAGGGTAAGAAAAATGAGAAGAAAAAAAAGAACAGAAGATTTATTAGATGAACCTTAACTTCATTATCCTAGCTTTGACGAAATGAGAAGGTAGAAATGGCTCATACCATGTTAGACTATTAATCTAGTTATTTTAACATATTAATAGATAATTTTGTCTGTTAGTGAATTCCTATGGGAACTTCTACTGATTAAGTAGTCACTAAATTCATTGTAATGCTATTTTGATATACAAGATGCATGAGTATATTGCCAGCAGCAGGATTGCAAGTTTTTCGGAACAGGTTGTCTGTTTTACAGCTAAGACTTTTTGGCCAATGAAATTAAGAGATTTTTTTTTTCTTTTTGGCCAATGAAATTAAGAGATTTTTTTTTTCTTTTTGGCACACATCTGTAAATATTTATTGCTGGATATAAAGCCCAAAGGATTTAGGAACGGGTTCTGCAAACTTGTATAATTATAGTGAACCATTGTGAACCTCTTGAAACCCATCCTTGTATATTACACACACATTATTTTACCTTGAATTATAAATAAAAAGTATACACATTTGTTTTGCCACTAATCAATTAAGTATTTTTTATTTTTTTTTAACTTTCTGCACAACCTGAAACCAAGTGGATAAAAGGGAAATAGAATATAATTTGTATGATTTACTTTAAGTACAAAATTATTTCAGATTTGGATTGTTATTTAAGAAATGAAGCAATATTTTCCTCCGGATGACAACTCAAAGAGCCATATCAAAATGAAATCCCCAAATTCTTTTTAGATAATAGTTGTATGTGAATATTTCCAGTAGTTTTTTTTATCATCATCATCATCATTATAGAACTGGTTAAAAAACAAAAGAAGTAGGCGAGGCAATAGGACTCTCCACCACACACACAATATATTGCCAGCAAACTTACTTTACTCTGAACTAGTAAGATATACACCAACTGTACTTTATAAATACAGATATACAGTCTTCTATTAAATTTGATGCTGTTAATTGTTATAGAGTTGAGAATTCTGAGAGCTTATTTAAAATGATGCTTAAGCATAACAAGACATTTAATTTATTCTGGTAGTAAATATAGGAAATAAAATTTGAACTGAATCATCAAGAAAACTGGAATAGATGGATAATTTGAGAAAAGGTACAAGGTTTTTTTTCTTTCTTTAAGGCAAAGGTTAATCCCCGCCCCCAAAAGCATATGATGTTCGAGCATCAGGGAGGAAACAGAAAAGGGTGGGAAGACATGGACAATGCTTGTGGAGTGAACAGAGCAGAAAGAGAATAATGCAAGACTAGAAAGATGACATATCCACTTACGGTGCCGGGCAGGCCAAATTTGTCCTTGGCAAAGAAAACAAAAATAAAATAAATAAATAAAATGTATATTATATAAGATTAAAGGTTATATCCCGTGCAGGATTTAGATGGTGAGACCCTAAGCTATCTAAAACCTGGAGGTCTCTTGTTTATCCATATCCTCCCGATGTCAGTTTAAACTAACACCTACTTTTTCCGTATTGCGACTGTCTTGTTTAAAGTTCATATTTTCTTGATCCTAAATGAAAACTTTGAAGTTTCTTGATATTTTACATTGAAATTTTCACATTCTAAAATTATAGTTTATAATTATAGCTTAGATATCTTGAAAAACAGAAGGCATCATTTTAAACTGATACCAGGAGCATATGGATTAATGGCCTTTTAATTTTTTGTGGTCCTTTAAGATTTAGGCTATAAGCTGTAGCTTGTTTAAACTATACCTAAATGCAACATCTGGGCAGGGGGGAACTGGTATTAATTGCTAAATGTTACCATTTTATTAAAATGCCTACCTATATTTAAAATTCATATTTAAAAAAGTTTCAAGTAAAATTTAAATGATACATTAAATGAATGTTCTTCCTAAATCTTACTTATGAAATTGCCAGGCATTTTTATCAGTGAAATCCTTAAGTATAAAAATTAATTTGTTCAAATCTTGATATGTTGCTCAACAAAAAAAATCATGATAATCATCTGCTTGATTTTTAACTCATTTGATACAGAAATAAATGTAAGTGAATTTAAGCGCAGTACTAGATTGGCAGCAAGGTCTCATCATTTTACAGTTAGAATGGTTAGATGTAATTAAGTTCTATGCTAACAGTTTATTTTCTTGCACTTCTCACTTGCGGAACTCTCTTCCAGCTTCTTGCTTTCCAGTCAGCTTTGATCTTCAAAAATTTAAATGCAATGTCAATCATTATCTTCTATTTTCATAATTCTTGTTCTTGCTCCTTAATATTTTCATTTTACTTGTATTCTTTCACACTCAATAACACACTGCATCTTAGTGGCTTTATTGCCACTCTTGGTTGAAATGATAAAAAATGTCATAAGTCAATATTTAGCACAAATAGATGTTTTCCAAATTGGAAGATTGATCGGAATTATTTAAAAAAAAAAAACAACCTTGAAATAGGTCTCCCCAAAATCTAGTCATAATAAACATTTGCTGATAAAACCAAAATCAATTGTTTGTGCATTTAATACTGTACAAGTAAACATTTTCTCAAATAGAACACAACTAGTTTAACCATGTTATAAAAAGATTGATATGTTATAGAGTGTGACAGAAATACCTCCTACATAAAGGTAAAACATTAGCGGCAATGTCTTTTCATCTAGCTACCAGACAAGTATTAATTTTGATTATTTTATTTATTTTTGTCAATAATATACATGGAAAAGACTAAAATACAGTATGTGCTGATGCACCGTGTTAAAATACAATTATCAATTTATACAGTTTTTCACAACCATTTAAAAAAAAAAAAAATTATACAAATAATAAGAAAAAGAAGAATATAGTCGCCATTATTATTAGTGCATTAGGCTCCATTCTCAGAGCTTGGTACAGTAACCTTTAAATCAAGCCCCATGTTCCAACCTTGCAGAAATCAGCATTACTAGGAACTGCCAACATCTTGCAAAAAATGATTTCTGTCTGAGGTCAAAATGACTTAATGGAGAAGAACCAATGTAAAGATCTTCAATATAAATTAATATTGTGCAAACTAAAGTGTTGGTTCCAATACTACATGGAATGGCAACACTTGTCCCACCCCATTTTATAGGTAGATGCACACAAATGCATGCCAGTATTTCTTCTTAGCCAATAAAATAAGCCAGTTCACAGTTTAATCTGTCTTGCCTTAAAGTCAGAATGCTACATTCGTTTATCTGAATTTGCTTTTGTGTGTTAACAAATTCTTTGTTTGCAAACATTTTTTGCCTTAATTCGCCTTGCATATATTGTTTGCTTGCTTTATATTATTTTTTGTCCTGTTATGGCTTATTGTAAATTTTGTCGATTCTGTTTGTTGGACAATTCTGTTACTTATTTTTGCATTTGATTCTGGTTACTCACTCCACTCTGATGATAATAATGTGCCTGGTATACCTTTATCAAACTAAACGTCATGGTGAGTAAATTGGGAGTCATATATTTATGACCATTGTGACTTTGTTGGCAGGTGGTCTCACAATAATGGTAATAAAACTGTTAGAAAATGAATGAAAGGAGAAAAAATAAATAATGATGATGGGTAAGTGTGGACATAACAATCAAGACTATATGGTGATTGTTAGTTTCATGCCCCAAAACAATCTTCAGTCCAAGACACACATACATATATATATATATATATGCACACAGGGTGCGATGGGTAATTTTTAATTTTGTGCATGCACATTGTTTGTTTTAGTTGACTGCATGGTATAGTAGGATCAGTTGGGCAGCGTTTGTGAGAAAAAGAGCACCGTGATGCAATTCACCCTGCAAAAAAATTTGGAAATGGCATACTGTACTACTTGGCATTCACACCAGAAGCTCCAATATGAACATTTCAGAGTGTTTGGGTGTCAATTTGAGGACATTGAAGAGGATTCAGAAAGAGCTGGATGAGTACAAAGGTATGGCAAGTTGGAAAACTCACTCTGATCATTCTAATAAGAAAAGAACTCCCAAATTTGTTGGGGAAGGCGGTAGTGCTGCCCTGGGTGAAGATGATGGTTGCTGGGAGACCCTATGTCTGGCAACAGGATTCTGCACCATGCCACACAAGCAGGAGAACCCAGTCATGGCTGCCAGACAATTTCTGTGACCACATCACACCTTACCTCTGGCCACCTAACTCCCCAAACTGGAACCCCCTTGATTATTATGTATGGGGTGTAGTTGAGTGGGAGAGCAACGAAACTCCTTGTAACACCAGATATGAACTAAAGGCAAGGATTATGGCAACATTTACCAACTTAAACAAGATGACCTTCCAGAAGAATTGCAGGGGATTCTGAAGCCCTCTGGAGGCCGTGGTTGAAGCAAATGGCATTTTTATTAAATAAATTTATTGTTTAGTATTTTGAGATATTTTTGTGTAATTTTGGTAAATATATCTGTTAACATGAGATGTCAGTGTTATTTTTATTTTTGCATAATTTAGATGACAATTTATCCATCGCACCGTGTGTGTGTGTGTGTGTGTGTGTGTGTGTGTGTGTGTAAATAAAACGAAAAACAAATTGTATCTGAAGATTGCCCGAGTGTGAAACTTGATGTAACAATTTAGATCAGAATCCATGAGCACATTTTGGTATTTTTTTTATTATTATAACTGTCAGTTTGATTTCTGAAGGTACTGAGCACTTATTTTATTTTTTTTTTTTTTTGTTTAGATTGGTTTTACTTTTTCTTTTTTCTTGGAACTAATAACTGGAGTCATACTTTGACAGGAACATAACATAATTACATTCTTGTGCTGTTAACAAATCAGGAATATGTTTTTCAAAAATTTTACTGCTGGATGCAACATTTTAATTTAGAAAAAAAAAAAAAAAAGAAAAAAAAGAGGGGTGAAGTAATTTTCTTTAAGAGACTAAACTATGTTGTAAATAATATCTATTTTGTATTTTTCTCTTATATCTGTTAAAGATATGAGAGATATTTTTCTTGTGATAGTAGCTATAACAGTTTTCAGATGTTTGAACTATCACTGTTACAATGCTAAAGTAGTATTAGTCCTAAAAATTAAAATAGAATATTATATAATGAAATCCTTTATACATAGATAAATAGTTTTGATTATATATGGTGAAAAATCGAGAGCCCGAACAGATTCTCACAGCTTACCTTTGTGAAACCTTAGGAGATTCAGAACCATTTGCTTGGTTAAATTTGTTCCCATTGCCATTGGTTGTATTTCTATCTCTATTTTTTTTCACTTCCGGTGAAGATGAACTGCTATCGGCTTCCTACAAGCAGAAAGAAAAAGAAATTACAAACAATATTTAATTGTACTGATTTGAGGACAGCTGCATTCGGAACAAGGGGGATAACTGAAAATAATCTTTTATTTGCATCAATGTCATAAAAAAGGGAGATAACTACAATTATCTCCCTTACACTAGCTACATTAAAAGACCAAAAAATATATAAATAAATAAAATGTGATATATTACATTTTTTTTCTCTCTCTCGGAAATTTAACCGTTTGAACTACTTGTTAAATTATGACCAAACATCAGATTTTCTAGGGGAGGGGTTGTTTCTTGATAAAGTGTCCCCTTGTTTGTGTGTGCATGTGAGTCAGTGTGAAAATAAAAGTTACATTTCGTAAATTCTTTTGATAATATTTATAGTAATTTGTCAGTAATTTTAATACTAAATAAAATGATTATGATCAGAACACACACACACACACACACATATATGTAAGATCATTGCAAAAGTTCATATCTGCTTAGAAAATTAAAAACAAAATTTTACATACAAAAAAAAACAAAAACAAAAAAAACAAACAAAACATTTGCCTATATTTCTGAGATGAGGTATTATGACTATTGTCCTCATCTTTGTCATATTTATTACAACGTTTCGGCTGTTGTACGCTCCGGCCTTCTTCAGGCAGTTGGAATGTTGAACTGAACTCTTTATTTCACTCACTGGGATAGACTGTTCTAGTTCCACGTGCCATGTTTAATGGATGTCAGTTATCAGTTATCTCCTGTTAATTTTCCTCTGAAAGTTTTCCACAGCCTTAACTGGGTATTGAACTCACACTCTTTCAATTCGACATTCCAACCACCTGAAGAAGGCCGGGGCATACAATGGCCGAAACATAATGAATATGATGACAAAGATGAGCACAATAGTCCAAATAATGTAAAAAAACATTTATTAATCAATACATCATCTCTATTGTTTTTAACACCTGTCTCCCATCATTCTACAAGCTTGCTGATGCCATTTTCATAGAAAATCTGTTTTTTAATGGAAGAAGGCTGTGAGGTAGTTGAACAGAGTCAAATATTGTCATTTTAAATCGTTCTGTAGAGATTGGAATAAATGAAAATCTGAAGGAGCGAAGTCAGGAGATAATAGGGAGTGCTGGAGGGTTTAGTATTTTAATTCTTTAAGCTTCTATAAGGTCTGTTTTGCAGCATGCAGTCTTGTGTTGTGGAGGGGGAAAATAACACCTTTTTGATCAAAATCAGCCATCAACTCTCATCAAATGGTGAAAGGCAGTTGAGATATCGATTTCCAAACTTAGTAATCTCTTTCGTGAAAATCTTTGGTTTATTTTCCACGATGGCAGGCAGAATATTTTCACTGATGTTGGGAGATTGTCCAGAGTGTGATTAAACATTTAGGTTAAAATTACCATGATGAAATCTGCCAAACCACTTTTTGACTGTCATCACACACACTGACACCATCGACTTCTGCTAAACTCTTGATATTTGATAGATACAGGCACACCTTTCTCATCTTCCTCCCACTGCAATCATCAGGAATTAAATATATGGACATTACCAGACACATACAAAAATTTTCACTAAAATCCAGATGTGTGTACATGCACACACACACACACACACACACACACTAATGCCACAAGACAAATACATATCTACCTGAACAATGAAGAACTAACACAGAATGCAAATGTACCAAAATTTCCCCTTCTATAACTCATTTCCTCAAAATTCTGATGAAGCTTAAATAAAAGTGAAACATGTTAAATTTATAAATGTTTCCTATTTGTTCCTTATTCTCTCATTCTTTCAGATTTTAATCTATATTTGATTCATAGATCTCCCCAAATTTTTCATATCTAGTTTCATATCCAAACATAAACAAAGAGAGTGTAAATTTTTCTTTGATAAGATTTCTAACTTTCAGGCAACTAAAAACAACATTTAATTAATAAAAATACTGCTAGCTTCATGACAAAAAAATCATATAAACATGTCTGCAAACCCTTCATTTTTTAGTTGAGTTTAAAGAGAGTTTATGGTAGATAGCACTGTGTTGCAATATAGACTAGGTTACATTTGTCATTCATGTACATTTGTGGCTAGTCAGTCTTTGATGTTTAACATGTGTAGAAGTGTTCCGTTTAACGACACCAGGATATTCATATTGTGAACGGGTAGATATGATTTTTACATACAGCCACACAATTGGTAATGGACACGAGGCTGCATGACTGTATCAGATTGTGTTACCAGACTGAAGGCAGCGGAGACATCTAACCTTTTCAGCTGTTTATCATTGTGTTGCTGAGACAAGATCCATGGTACCACAAACTACGGATTGTTGAAGAGTGGGATCTGCTCTTATGCCTAACCACAGGTGCATGCGAGTGTAGAAAGAAGTGATGGACATTTGGAACATTTATTATGAGTTGCAGTGTTGAGGTACAATGATGGCCTTTTGGACATATGTTTATATGGACATTTTACCTTGTTTTGGTGTCATGAAACCACTCCAAAGTTGGTCAAAGTATTTTTGGATTGTACATTTAAGAGCATCTACTGTAAACTTTAAACTTAATAACTCAAAAACAAAAGATTTGCAGACATATGTTTATATGGACTTATGTCCTTTTTTTGGTGTGAGGAACCCACTCCCAAAGTTTGGAAAAGTATTTGATACACCGTGAGGGGAAATAGATATTCGTACATATGAAAAATTGTATTTTTATAAATGTAAAAGCCTTAACTAAAACAAATTTTGGTACATTTTATGTGTAAAGATACATTTTATTAAAAAATAGTAATAAACTTAATTCTTATTCTAACGGAAATTAATGCATTTTTTTTCATTTTAACTGATGAAAAAAGTATTTGTACAAAACAAAAAAAGCATATTAATTTAATACTTTGTGGAATATCCTTTATTGAGTTCAACAGCTACCAGTCTATTCCTGTACATTTCAACTAATAATTTGCACACATTGAGTGGTATTTTGTCCCATTCTTCTTGGCATATTGTCTTCAAATTCTTGATATTTGTTGGTGCTCTTTTCCCAATTTGAATTTTCAAATATCGCCATAAATTCTTGATTGGGTTCAAGTCTAGGGACTGACTTGGCCATTGCAAGACATCAACGTTACTTTCAGCTAACCATTTCCTTGTAGATCTAGCAGTAAGCTTAGGATCATTATCCAGTTGGAAAACCCAATCAGGAGGTAGCCGAAGTCTCTCAACAGAATGCATTAAATTGTCTTGCAGGATTTTCTGGTAGCTTTCGGCATTCATCTTGCCATCTATTATTGATATTCTGCCAACACCTTTTGCAGAAAAACAGCCCCAGATCATGATACTGCCACCACCAAACTTTACAGTTGGCAACATGTTCTTTGGTAAGTAGGCTTCTCCGTCCTTCCTCCACACATGATTTCGATAATTATGACCAAACAACTCTATTTTAGTTTCATCTGTCCATAGTACTTTTTCCCCAAAATGAATATTCTTTATCCTTATGCTCTCTA